CAATGTTTTTCTTTAATTCTTCTTCCAATAAAAACTTTTGAATCGCGGTCTGAAGTAGTTTACACTAGGACAAATCAGTTTGTCCTAATCATAATTAATTAATTTCAGGACAAACCAGTTTAGACTAGGATAAACTAGTTCATCCTATATGGCTCTTCGGATAAACTGATTTGGCCTAGGAAAAACTAGTTTATCCTAAAATCGGGTTTGTCCGGTAACATATATATTATATAGGTGAAGAACGATCGTACACAAATTTTAATTTAAATCCTTTAAAAATATCCTAAAATAAACAACGCACAAGCAAACCACTATAGTCTCTTAAATAACATCAAAAATGAACAACACACAAGCAAAATACTTTTAACTCTTCCTAAAAATCTTCAAAAATAAACGTGTATTATTGTTTCACCTGTCCAACATCTTTATAATTAAAAATAAAACTATATTAAAGATTAATCCTTATTCAAACGTGATGACGTCGTGTGAAAGAGGGTCAATCGAGACCTGGCACTTTTGCTACGATCTCAATTTTACCCCTAGATATGGTGGGTGAGATTTTCCGGGTTTTCTAGGAAAATACTCTAGAAAAGCCACTAACACTTGTTACATGCACATGTGGCGATGTAAGATTAGGAACTATTAGTTGGGAATCTCGACATTCAATGTCGCGATGGTCGAGTGGTTAGGGCAGTGACAGGCTTTTTTTTTAACTCTCCAAGTATGTGTTTTCACCTTTGGGGTTCGGGTATGGTCTTAATAATTCGCAGGGGGATTTTTGAGACATGTTTCCGAACTCTCAAATTATTCTACAACTTATTTCAGATAATTCTGACTTTTTGGATTTCGATTTGCGATATATTAAATTCACCATTTTCAGAAAATGAAAATACAGAAATAATTTAATTAATTTAGAAACTAAAATAGCAGTCTAGAGCTAATAACGGTTTATTGCTTGGACCAAGAGTTAGAAGTGCACTTTGGAAAACAGGTGGTCTTAGCACATGGGAATATAGCACTGGTTTAGTTGCAACAAATGGGTAGACATTTATTTGGACTACTGGAAACATATTACAGACTGTTGTATTTCCTAACAGAAAATAAGTAAATTATGTGAATGCTGTTTGTGTCTGCCACGTTACGTCATCCGTAGAAAGCAGAGTTGGGTCGGATACAGGAAAAAAGTATCCGAATACCGGATACGGATACTTACAATGTATCCGGATACTTTTTATGATACTTTCACCTAAAAAGTACTCGGATACAAGTATCCGGATACTTTATCCGGATACTTTTTTCGGATACTTTAAAGGATACTTTTAAAGTGAGTTAAAATAATGTTTTCATACCAATAGTTATAATTATGCAATAATTACCTTAACTATCTTTAAATTCCAAATTTCTACTCTTTTCCTATTAAGAGGAATCTATTCTTTACTTGATTTTTATTTCTCAAGCTATATAAATGTATTTTGTTTACACATTCTATGCGAAATTCTATATTAATTTTTTTTAATTATAGCTGATCTGCCAAAATAAAAATATATATTTTTTAATTATGCCATTTTTTTAAAAACTGGCTTCCGATAAATCTAGATAATGACATTATGTACCCATTCCTAAAATTTAAAATGTTTACTTTTTTAAAATTACTTTAAAAATGGATTTTTAAAATAATTTTACACGTTTATAAAAAAAAGCAGAAATTTTAAATTTTAGGAATGATTAGATAATGTCATTATTTAGATTAATGGGAGCCAGTTTTTTAAAATTGAGCGTAATTTAAAAATATATAAATATCTATCTTGGAAAATCAGCTTAACACTTTCAATTCAAGACTAACGGGACTATATATCCCAAATCAAATTTTATTTTGACTGCTGGGAAATATAATCCCAATTATGTATATTTAAATTCCGGTTTAGTCTTTTCAGTGCCTGCGGTCATCTAGCACTTTATTGTTTGTAAACAAAGCGAGATAACCTCAAATTTTTCGTGCTCCACGCCGCATGATATTTTTGGATATTTTTAAGCCTTTTTTAGGGCAATTATATCCTGTTTATTCTGTGTAACCAAGTAAGTACCTTTCTTTTAGTGTATATAATAGTTTGAACTAATTTTACGTATTCCTTGATGCGAAATTTTCTGATTTTTTTTTGTGGGACGTTATGTCTTAACAGGCTTTATTGGTGAGATTATTTGTCCTACGAGACCTACGAATGTGTTTTTTCTTTCAGGATGAGTAGAAAAAACCACTAGTTCAAGCTAAGCTTGAAAGAATTGCTGAAAATCTTAATTTCTCCGAAAGTGATACTGATCCTTACCAAAATAGTAGTGATGAAGACCCAGATTGGTATAGCTCGTGTTCAGAAACCGAGTCTGAGTGCGATGGTGATGTTCAATCAGAAAATAACGAACTCGTCGAAGCTGAAGATACAGGTAGCCATAATGGTGATGCGAATTGTCAGAGTACTTTGTTTCCTCAAACTGCATCTACAAGTCCTCAGCCTGGGCCCTCAACTGCATCAAGCACGATAATGTGGTCTTCAGTTCCGCAAAATTATATTCCACGATTTCAACTACCTCTTGCTAGGAATACAGAAATCCTCCTGAACTGTATAAATAGCCAATCAACAGGATTGGAAGTATTTTTGCAGTTATTCCCAAAAAGTTTGTATATGTTCATATCCCAATGCACCAATGAGAGGCTAAAAATTATCGAAATAAAACCTAAAAAGAAAGTGAAATTGACTGACTATTCTGAAATTATGATGGTAACTGGTATTATGTTAGTAATGGTTTATAATGTGCTGCCAAGCTTGAACTGCTATTGGTCAAAACATCCTTCCATAAGAAAATCAGATGTTGTAGTTTGTTTTGTTAGATTCTTTACATCAGTAACGTTGATGAAAACATTACCATACGCAGCAGTAGGGACTTGTATTAGTAGTCGAAAAAATATACGGAAAAGTCGAGAAAAACTAGAGAAAAGTCAAGTCAAATTCTTGTGTACAAATGATGGGATAACTTTTACTAGATGGCAAGATACAAAGGAAGTCATGGCAATTAACAACTGTCACAGGGATCAGATAACCATGGTTGAAAGAACACAGAAAAATGGAAAGCCTCTCTTGAATGCCCCGGGATCATTTCCTTTTACAACAAGTATATGGGAGGTGTTGATTTGACAGACCATTTGACTAGTCTCTACGACTTTGATCGGAAGTCTACCAAATGGTGGAAAAAGGTTTTTTACAAAATGATGTTGATAACTGCTGTACATTCCTACATTATCCATAATGAAGTAAAACGCAAAAAGGTACCATTTTTGGATTTCTTGGTGTCTTTGGCAGAAGGTCTTATTGAACATGGGAAAAATAAGGCGAGTATAAAGAGACGTTCAACATCTGGACGACCTTCGAAGAGGCAAAAAACAATGTTGAATATTGGAGATCACATGCCTATTGTTGAGCAACAGCGGATGCTCACAAAACAATATTGAAAAGCGCAAGATCAGTCTGTAGGGCATGTGGTGTCCCACTATATAACAAATGTTTTACACCATATCATATGTAATCACAAATCTTTGTTTATTGTAAAATTAGTTACTAAAATACAGTTTTTATATCTTTTTGTTTATTATTTTACAACTTTTAAGACTGATGGGCTGTAATGTCCCGGTTAAGACTGATGGACTGTAATGTCCCGGTAGAACGGACTAATGGGACATGTCCCATTTTTCAAAATATTAAATACATTGCGGAAAATTCTAAAAAAAAATACAAACTGCTTAAAAATCTTCCTAATGTTAGGAAATGAAATAATATTAATGATTACAACACGTAAAACAGAAATAAAAATCCGTCCTGAAAGGGTTAAATTAAGAAAAAAAATTAATATAGAGTTTCGTGTAAAATGTGAAAAAAAAATTCATTTAAATCGCTTGAGAAATAAAAATCAAGTATTTCTTAAGGGTATTACTTCCTCTTAACGTATAAAATAAGGTTATAATATAAGTGTTAAAAAAATGGTATAAATAAAATAATTGTCTATTCAAATCAACTATTAAAAAATTGTAAGTTTTATAAATAAAAATGAATAGAAAATTTCCTATAAAATATTACGGCAAGGGGCAGGGCACATATTCCTTAAAAGCAGACCTTTTAAATAGATCTCTTACAAAAAAAAAAATTTTAGCTCTTACGATTGTGGTAAATAATTTAAAAGTATCCGAATGCCGAAAAAAGTATCCGGTATCCGGATACTTACAAATTTGGTCATGGATACGGATACCGGATACAAAATTTGAAAATTATCCGGATACAGCTTTCGGATACACATAAAGTATCTGGATACTGTATCCGGATACAGAAGTATCACGTGTCAATCCTGGAAAAATATATTAATGATTGCTTATTTATATTATCTAATAATATTATAAGAACAATTAAAATCAACATAAGCCACTAGGTCCTATTCATTAATATAAAAGCAGAAACTTCGTTCCTATTGGGCGAGTTCATTGACTAATACTTTCACAGAAAATAAAAATTCGTTGTACACTGCTATTATTTTGCAAGAAAAGATAAATTTTGTTTTTTATTTGTTTATTCGTATTTCATTTCTGATATGCGACGAGTACTGCAACAATTTATACCTACCTAAATAAAGTGTAAATTATCGTCCTGGATGTGGATAATTCGATGTTGTATTTCTATATTCATGTAATATCACAAGCTTGTGCAAACACTGCATATATCTACGTTATGTGTTGGATGGAGCTTTAAATTAAAGTTCTCGCCTACACTGTAATTTACTAATTACTGATGACATACGAGATATGAGATGACGCACTGGGGCTATAATGTTATTATGGAGCTGTATTTTCCAAATTTATCCAAGATAATAATCCCTTTATTACATATCATTGGAACAGATATTTACACTTCATTATTTATTTTGTTTTAAAAAATTTATTTATTTATTTTTTTTTTTTTCAGAAACGAAGCAAGAGCTGGAAGACCTAATGGCCGATATCAAGAAAACTGCCAATAAAGTCCGTGCCAAGCTAAAGGGTGAGTAAATCTGGTTTGCACATTTTTTACGAAGTTTAAAGCTGGATTTGAAAAATTCTTTAATGCCAACCATTTCTTAAAGTGCTTTTAAAATTTAAACATCTTTATTAAATCCTAAGATAATCCGTAAATTTCAAATTTTTTCCTCTTGCCGAGGGTCATTATAAGATTGAGGAGATTAGAAACGTTTGAGTTTTGTTTGATAGAGAACTACCCCGTTGCTATGGTATTTTCTATCAGCAAATAATAGTAATTTATGCAACAAGTGCATAAAGTGGTACTTTTTTCACGAATGGAAAAGTTGACCGCATGAGCCGCCAGGCGAATGCGGCAATTCCATGAGTGAAAAAAAGACACTTTATGCATATGTTGCATACAATATTTTTTCTACAGCCCTATACAAATAATAAAATAAAAATAGATATTTAGAATATTTTAATTAAATTCCTTTAGTAAATTACAACTATAATAACGAATGCATAATGATTATTGAATTGGACAAATAATATTAAGAAAAATAACAAGTAAATTATGTATTTTTGTTTCTTTCATTTCGCAATGTGGATATTGAAAACACAATTGTTTGGTTGACTAATATGAATTTTTGATGCAGTCACGTTAGTTTCTGTCTGATTCATGGATAAAGCATCATTTAAATTGTGAATATTTGGAACAGTCAAATTTGTCTTTGCTTGATTCTCATATGATGTTGAAGGTTGGTTAAAAAAACTGCTGTTGTTAGGTCCTTGTAAAATTCGTGAAGCACAGTTCATTTTTGAATTGAGAGAATTGTTCACATACCCTTCGGCTACAGCAGTAGATTTCCATCCTCCATGTTGCTTTAATTGAAGAATGTCTCCACCTGAATCAACTAGAAGTGATGCCGAAGTACGTCGAAACGTATGACCTGTATATTCTTCTGGATGCGGTAAACTTAAATATTGTGCAATTAGCGATGGAATTTTCGAAAAAGTGTTTATACCAACTACTTGTTTCGTACATTTTCCATTTCTATATGATAGAAAGAAATGGTTGGTGGTTGCATTCTTCGCATAATTTTGATAAAAATGTATTAAAATAATGTTTTTACTGGTTTCTCCAATTACCGTAAAACGCCGACTTGTATGCGTTTTTGAATCTGGAATCGTGATGAGTAGAAATAAAAACTTGTTAATCTCCTCCCTTGAAAATGTATTGGATTTCTTGGGTTTGTACCCAACCGATTTTCGTTTCAGAAATGCTATTAGTTTAGCATATTTATTTATGTCTACGTTATCATTAATAATTAAGGTTGCTTTTAGTTTAGAATAGCTGGACCATAATGTAGAAGACTTGAATTTTCTAGACTTTTCTTCAAAAAACGCTAATAGCACCCGCTCTGTAAAGCTATGAATATTATTCTGGTTCCGCCATTTCATAAAAGTAGGTACTTTAAACGTAGGGCGTAGAAAAAACGTATTACGGCATATCTGTAAAGGATTGACTTCAAATAAATTCCATTAAATGTATAAGCCCAAAACAAATTATAATAATACAGTATAAATCACTTTTAATGCAGTTCAACCAACTTTAATATCAATAATTCCATCAGCCACAAATACCGTATGATCTGAAATTCCGTCCATTAACTTTGATGTTCTCGCATGGAATGGCTCGACTGAAATTTCGTGTAAGCGTAATCACCGATAACTTGACAGCTTCATCTAACTAAACTCCCTGTCGGGATTAAACCATGGCCAAAACCTCGGTTTAAGTGGATTACAATTTCGTTTGGCCACATTTTCTTGAGCGAGAAAATTAAATATTTCATCTAAATTAATAGACTAAATTCGGTTTTATGAATTCGCTTTTAAATGTAAATATGAACTAATAGTATTTATTGATGGACATGAAAAGAAAGAGACGGCAATGGAGGAAAGCGAATATCGCTGCCTAATAATGAATATGCATGAGCTAGCTTTGCCATATCACTTGTAAATTTTTGGTGGGAGTACATTTAAATTTTAATCGCCATAAAAGCATATAAAACTAACAATTTTCATTATATATATTTAAAAGCTTAACAGCCCAGTCATTTTAGACATAAAAAAAGGTAAATAGCAAGAAAACCAGTCACTTAGATTTTAGCTAAACCTTTGCTATGGTGTTATAAAAAACGTATCATCGATATTATGCTGCTTCAAACTCTCGCTTCCCTTGACTCTGAAATCATTTTGAATTTATTTAGGATATTTTAGATCTCCAAATTTCCTACATAAAAGATTCTATACATTTTTTTTTATCGTATAGCGTTGATAAATTATAGCTATCCATTCTATGCAGATACGTCACCCATGCATAGAGTAGACAGTAAAATTAAAATTTAAACTAATATGCCCGGTCGCCAGATTTAATGACATTTTTCTATAATTCACTAGCTTTATTAAATTGGTTGCATAATAATATAATTAAAAAAACAATATATGGACCTGAGTTGGATCGAATACAGGAAAAAGTATACAAGTACCGAATACTTACAATCAGTGACGCCTTTTGGTAATTTAAAAAGGGCTTTTACAATTTTTAATTTGGTGCTCTTTAGAAGAAAAAATATAATTTAAACAATGTCGTATACAATATTGACGGTATAATTCATTGAAAACCAACAAAAAAAGGATATTTATAGCGAAAGAACACAAACGAGGAAGGCAACAATATATATTTTCCACGTTAACACTGCTGCACGCCGGGAAAAAAATGTACTAGATTTTGTTTCGATAATGTATAACAATTGTAAATTGTACTAGACTGGCAACACTGGTTTGGCAACATTCCTATGCCCGCCCAGAGTTATGTTGACAGACCTAATGAAACTTCCTCAAGTAGACAGGACTTTGATGCTGAATCCCGTCTGTACGGTACTTTCTTGGAATCAGCGTTAACCCTTTTGAAAATCTGGACCTAGATCCCTTGAAGGTTCGTCTTCTTTTATTGAGCGACCTTTTTTTGTGTAGAGGATACCGGTTGGCACCAGTTGCGCAAGGAATGGTACAAAATTACCTCTGTGATTTTTTTTGCCTAGCCCACTTTATATACGTGCGCCTCCTGCTGTTTTAATTTTATTATTTCCTTCACGAACGTCTGTATTATTCCCACTTGTTTCTGCTTTCCATCATTTTTGTTACGATATTGTTGCAGTTTACGTCCTCGTTCATTGCCAGGTCCATGGCTGTTCTGGGCATATAAAATCTGTTGTAGAAATGTAATACTAAAAACCACAACTAGTAGCACTTTGGCAAAGTAGCCCAGTATCAAAGAGGACTGGAATAACGAATATGCCGCACTATCTTCTGCATCGCAGTAGATGGCATTTCGAGGATTCTATGATTTTCATTCTCTTTAGGTAATTCTTAGGCTTAGTCGTGATCTGTAAATATATGCGCAAGGAAGTAATCCATCATTATGTGTTCCTATCCCACTCGGTTTGCCACTTTCTGACTGTTTCCCTTCTTTCCACTTTTATGTTGTTGCTATTTTCTCTTCTGTTGTAGAGACGAGCACTCTCCTCTGCTAGGAGGGAATAGGTATTACTCATTTTTTGACGCTTAGAGCGTTAGTAGGTACTATCCTGTAAGCTCTAGCCACGCACAGTATCTCCTTTCGATCTGCCCTGGTACGCCCTCTTCGGACAATGTTTTGAGTAAGTCGTCCACAAGAACTGACCACAGCATTGGAGATAATATTCCTCCTTGTGGGCAGCCCCGTGTAACTTTTACCTGTATGGTTGCCTTTCCTAGAGTAAATAAAATGATCCTATTCTCTAGACAGGCAGTGATCCATTGGCATATTGTAACTGGGACGTTTCTCTGTTCTAGAGCCTTGGTTATTGACCTGGTTGAGGCATTGTTGAAAGCTCCTTCGATATCTAAGAAAGTGGCTATTGCGATTTCTTTGTCATCTATTGACTTTAAAAGCAGCCTGTTTAAATCGTCCAGCGTTAGGTCAGTTGATTTTCCTGGCTGGTATGCATATTGGTTGGGATAGAGCGGATTTATTTTTAGTATCTCGTCCCTGATATACCTATCTATCTATTTAACTTTCTAGAGTTTTAAGTAGGGAGGAGGATAGGCTTATGGGACGATATGACTTTGGCGTTTGGTCTGTGACCCTACCTACTTTGGCCAGGTAGACTACTTTCGCCTTTTGTCATATTGTTGGGATATATCTCCAGGCAATGCATGTTCTTAAGATGCTAAATTATAAGTTTGATTGAAGCAAATTATAACCTACATTAATATTTTGGACAAGACACCACAATAAAGGCATGGTTTTATATAATTATTTGTGTAAAACAAACAACACTAACTTATATTTAAAGTAACATCTTAAAATAGTCAAAAATTGCAAACATTCTTTAAATAAACTCTTCCAAACACAACCTTAAACTTCAGCATCGCCATTGAGATTATTGCTAGGTAAAATTTTGTTTCTGCGTCTGTCCTCATCTATAACGCCTTGTAAAGCGGGCGGGCAGTATGTCTTCACCCCGACATTTTCCATCGGGCATCTCTCGGCGACGTTATTAACCTGCAGGACTTGTAAGTCTTGTATTATTTTTTTTTTCTCGAAAACGGTTCATTTTATCGATAATGAAGAAGAGTACCTTTTCTTTAGCTTAATGTTCAAGGTATCGAAATTTATTTTTTTTAACTCCTTATCATACAGGGTGTTAAAAATGTAAGCATTAATATGTACAACCTAGTTCGCCCCTGGTAAACTGAACAAGCTAATTATGTTTTAAGGGCAGTATTTTAAGGGGTCTTACTATTGTTTATCATATTAAATTTTCATTAAATTATATTACGTAGTTTGAAAGTTATTCAAGAAAAATTGATTTCTAGTGGCGTCCTTTTGGAGGCCGTACCTCCGTAGGGAGGGCCGCTAGGAAAGAAATTTATTGGAACTTGTCATCTTATTTTTTAATGTTCTATCTGAATCCGAGAGACCTCCCACATTTTCCGGGACACCTTGTATACATAAACCTCCATTTTTATATGCACTTCAACAAAAACTGCTAGCCAAGCTGTATTCCAATATAGTGTAAAAAGCTTTTTATAATTTTTTAAGCAGTGCTCTGTGGTGCAGATTACCTTGATAGATTTATATTCTATACTAAATCTTTCATTTATTTTGTTTCGAATACATTGAGGATTCATATGGAAGATGGAGATAGTCCCTGTTGAATCCTCAAAGGTTCTAGGGGTATTGATTTGACAATCAAAAGATTTAGAAAAGACATCTTCTATTTTGTGTTTGCGATTAAAAACACTCCAGATACATTTCTCTTTTCTTCTTTACCATTGTCAAGTCAAATCCCGAGAAGCATACATTTCTTGGTCAAAATGAATTTGTGTACACTAGGTCTTTTATTTCTTGATATACTCCCACAATAAAACAGTTATTATCCAAATTGTTATGGTAGATATTCAACTTTTTTACTGAAATGTCGTCTTCAGATTGTGCCATATATTTTCTTATGATTTGCTCAGTAACGTTGTCTCTAACTCGCGAGACAAATAGCCAATATTTTTTCCATTTTTATTTCCCTTCGCTGTACCAATAATGGCATTTTCCTTATAAATTAGCTTCTGTGTCGGTTGCTGGAACTGTTGTACCAACTTGCAATTTTTTTCTACGGTTTAAAACCTTAATCCAATTTTGTTTATGCATTTACCATTTCTTATATTTTCATTATTAGAGAGATTTGCATTTGGGCTCTTGGGTATAGAAAGGCAATGTTTTGTTTGGTTTTTACATCGTTGGGGTTAATTAATTTTGTGTAGCCAAAAAGCAAAACATATTGATATTATTCTATTTGGAATTGATTAAAGAAAACCGGCATACTGTCAGAAACATTCAAGCAGATTTGAAGATTGGTATGAAAGCAATTAACATTGTTTTACACAAACATTTAAGTCCGTAAGCTTTGTTCTCTATGGATTCCCCTCAACTTGACTTTAGTTCAAAAAGAAGACCTTGTGAGATGGTGCAGATCTAATTTGGTGTACAACATCATCACAGGTGATGAAACATGGGTATATTAATGTGATTCCGAAAAATGGCAACAATGTTCAGTTTGGGTCTTTGAGAATGAGTCGGTTCCAACAAAAGTTGTTCATGAAAAAAGCCGAAACAAAAAGATGGGCACCACTTCTTTTGGAATTACTGGCCACGTTTCCACTGTAGCACTGGAGCCTATTAATTCAGAATGGTATACTACAGTTTATTTGCCTCAGATTCTCCAAAAGAATCGCGAAACACGTCCAAGAGGAAGGATCATCTTGTATTAAGATAACGCTTGGGCTCACACTGCTGCTCAAACAAATGAGTATTTGAATGCTCAAATATAAAAACAATGGGTCATTCGTCGTATACTGCAGACCTAGCACCTAATGACTTCTTCTTTTTTCTGCTGGTAAAGGATAAATTTCGGTGTTTACGTTTTACATCCGCCGAAGAAGCGGTAGTCTTTAAAAAAATTTAAATAATCAAAATACGACCAGACGAAGAATGGTTTTTGCGGATGCAACAATGCATTGACTGTAGAGGATAATACTTTGAAAAATTATAAACTAATGTTTTTTTTTGTAAATAAACTGTGTTTTACACGGCTCAATGGAAATAAAACAACCCTCGTAAAAGCAATAATTAACGAGGACGTATTCTTTTCTAAAGGTGTAACGTAGAATTTGATTTGAGGGAAAGGACGATCAGTTACGCAATTTAGTAATTATTAAAGAAATGTTATATTACTAATATCTCTTGCGTATTCAAGTTTCGTGAAGCTAAACTCTTTTTTAATGGGATAATATGACGCAAATTCAGGATTAATATTTAAGAAATTTGTTTTGTTTTGTAATTATCCGATCAATCTAAACATGGGATTGAGGAATTAATTAAATACTTTCATGGTCTTTTTTATTCTAATAATTAGTTCAGTTTTGTTTCTACAATTCATATAACTAAATATACATTTTTTTTACAGTTATAGAACAAAATATAGAACAAGAAGAACAAAATACCAAATCGTCGGCGGATCTGAGGATACGAAAAACCCAACATTCCACGTTATCCAGAAAATTCGTAGAAGTTATGACTGAATACAACCGAACGCAGACGGATTACAGAGAAAGGTGTAAAGGAAGGATACAGAGGCAATTAGAAATCAGTAAGTTTCATAAACAATATTATTACAAAATTTTATATTTTTTCGGAGTAAAATACATAAGATTTTTTATTGATAATTATATAAAAATTTAATTATAGTTACAAGAAAATTGAGAATCAAAGGAGTGAACAAATTTGTTCTTTCCTTTGATTCAATATTATTTTTCGAGGCGTGAATTTATGAGGAAATTGCGATTCAATGAATTCTAAAGGACTTCCAATAGAATTCCCTGTTACCTAAAGTATTACAAGACTACCGAAAAAATTTCAAAAATTTTCTGAGATAGAAAAATGTTATTTGCATTCTATTCTAAATGTGAAATTACGAATCAACACTAAAAAAAAAGAAGCTATATATGCAATATAACAAAACGATCAGTTACTAGGAGTACATAATTACTGGAAAATAAAGTTAATTTATTACAGTGTGATTGGATTTAAATTTTTATTTGTACAAATCTAAGAAGTAAATACAATTCTTCAGGTAAAGGAAATGTAGAGGTTGTTTCACATAACAATTTCTGAGGTAATATATATTACCTTATTTACAGTGTGTCCCATTAGTGCGAAATTGTTCAATATATCAATTTGTGTTAAGAAACGCAAAAAGTTTCAATTAAAGTTATATGGATTTGAAAAATACATATTTTAAAAATATTTTTGGATATACAGGGCGTTGCGTTTTTACCTGGCAAATAAAAATGTATGTTTTTTAAATAGAATACCCTGTATTTTATTTTTATAATGGTTTGGTAAGACTATATTCAACCCTAGAATGTTTTTAAAAATTATTACAGTTTTGCCAAGCAATTATTTTTTTTTTAATTGGAAATGACGCAGACCTCAAATTAAATTATCATAATTTAAGTAGGTTTACATTGATTTCAAAATTGTTTAATATACAGAATTATAAAATTATAAGCTAACGAATAGTAGTGTTTTTTTATACAGAGTGTTTTGAAACATATCTTAAATTATGGCTAATTTTAAGTTCAATTTACTCAATTTTTTCAAATGCAAGACCCTGTATAAAATTCCTTATAAATTTATCTATCCAACGATATCAATATGTTAACCAATAACACATGTACAGGGCGTTCCATCAGTGCGTAATTGATCAATAGCTAGAACAAGGTAAAATTAAGTGCATAATTCACAAATAAATGTTTTGCAACGGTAGCTAACTCAGCACACTCATTGTGGCACCAAGATTGACATTTCTGACAACGAATCCACTTCTCTCTCGCTCGTGATTGGGAGTATAACTCGTTGCAGTATATGTAACTAGCATCAGAGTCGTCTTTTTCCTGTCCTAAAAATTCTTCTAAGACGGATTTATCTTCATCAGAACTGTCATCATTTAGAATGACAAGTTGGCGTTTTGTTGCTCTGGCCTCTTGTTTTCATATTTTCGCTTCCTCCTCAGTCACTTTCTTTTTAAGTTCATACATTTCTGGTGTTGAATTCAAATGACTAGTTTTTCCACGTTTTCTGGCTATTCTTCCACCAGTGCCAATGGCTACAGCTTGGGGAGGAGGTAAAATTTCTTTCACAGAGATGTCGAGAACTGACGATGAAGACATGTTATGACCAGATGTACTTGGTTGGTCTTGAAATTCCATTTGGTTTTCGTTATATCGCCTTGATTCTCGGGAATCTGCTTATCAGTTGCTAAAGCTGCTGCAAACTGCCAGTCATCAAAAATGTGAGGATTGAAAGGATATATGCCGGTCTTTTTGAAGAAGTTTATTGCGTTTGATGGCACTGCACTTTTCAAATAGGCTTGACTGAGAAGACCTGCTATTTTGAATTGAGTCACCGCTTTTCCCGGGTTTTAACGCAGCCATAATTGAATTTCTTGATCGAAATACGTATGAAGAGGACGAAAGAATCCGACGTCCAATGGCTGAACGTGATGAGAGCAGTGTGCAGGAAAGCAAAATACAATTACACCATTTTCTTTTGCGAACTGCAGAGCTTCAAGACTCTTATGACTACTGTGGTCATCCAGTAATAAAAGAACCTTATTATCGTTAGATGCTTTAGCGTACCTTACGAAATGCTTTAGCCATCTATAAAAAAGTTCACTGGTCATCCAACCTTTCTCTTGTGCGAATGCTATGCTACCAGCGGGAGCACCGTTCATAAGTTCATCGTTCATTCTTTGACGAGGGTAAATAAGAACAGGAGGGACGTAAGTGCCTATGGCATTCATTGCACACACTACGGGTACGTGTTGCCCACGCTCGGCACTACTAAGTGCACCAACTTGCTTGCGACCTTTTGCAGCGTAAATCTTTTGGCACTTCTTCTGGACCGTAGTCAAACCGACTCGTCCATATTATAAATATTTTCGGGGAGAAACTTGTACTGCTCCAGAGTATTAGACAGTGCGTTAAAATAGGCTTCGATATTAGGCTTGTTAAATGCCTGGGCTCTAGCTAATGATGTACTTTCTGGGCTTCTCAAATATTCGCGGATTGCGCTTTAGGAATCCCCTAATCCATTTCCAACCTGCCATTTTTGTTTCGCGGTTAAAACCATGTTTTATTTTATTTTTTTCGGCTACTTCAAATACCATCCGCCGCAAATCTTTAGAAGTTAGTCCAAAAAAACGTGTTTCTATGTCAATTATATGAGTTACAATCTTCTGTTCGACAGCTTTAGAGAAAGTTGCTCTTCGTCCTCCCAAATCACCCTTAGAACTGTCCCGTTTAGCCAAACGCCTTCTTAAAGTTGTTTTGGGAACATTAAAGGTCTTTGCAGCCAACTTATAGTCCATATTGTCGTTTTGAACGTTGAGAATAGCCTGTCGCATGTCATGCTCGTTCCACTGTTGTCTCTTCTTGGACGCCATATCTACAAAAGAACGAGAAAAATAACTAAAAATGTATAATTAACGCATTGCCAATGATGGACCCGCCAATGATGGACCCCTGGTCCATCATAAGACACAGTTGAGGGTTCCATCATAGGCAATATTTCATAAGTCATTAAAAAATGCCAAGCACTTTTGATCTTTGCCATAACCTCAATTTGTGCCCTAAAATTAATATAAAACAGTTTCTTCAAACTGCAGTAAAAAAAAACTAAACGCTGTGTTATACCAGTACTTACCAGTTTTGTCTTTATTTTTTATTATCACACAAACGGCATATATTCGCATAGTCGCCTGTAAACAACTGATTTTATACTTCAGTCATCCTAACCAAGATGGCGGTAGTCTGTTATGCGCAGTAAATTTGAAAATACAGCTGGTGGTCCGTCATAGGCGGGGGTCCATCATGGGCATATTTCCCCTATTTGATTGTTTTCACATCATCAAACAATTTTAATAGACTTTATTTATTTGCTATCTTGTATCCAGGGTGTGTCAACATGCGGGGTAACCATTTTCTTAATTTTTTAAATAGAATACCCCATATGTTATACTACCAATTATTTGATACAGAGTATTTATTTTAAAAAATTGAGAAAATCGGAACCTCACGTTTTGACAAACCCTATATACAACATAGCAAATGAGTGAAGTCAATTAAAATTGTTTGATGATGTGAAAACAATAAAATATGTATAACTACCTGCAGAATGTTTTGCTTTAAAAAAGTGTAAATTTGTTCAGCACCTCGTTTATAGACCACCCTGTATATTTAAGAATAATTGTTAAATATATTCATACAACTTTAATATTAATTTTTTTTTCGTATTTCTAATAATTAAACAGCTATTGATCAATTACGTACTGATGGGACACCTTGTACATGTGTTATTGGTATCGTTGTATAGGTAAATAATATACAGGGTGTTGCATTTGAAAAAATTAAATAAATTGGACTTAAAATTAGGCATATTTAAGACGTTTTAAAACACTCTGTATAAAATAAACCAGTTCTATCACCACTATACATTATTACCAAACCATTCTAAAAATAAAATAAAATACAGGGTGTTCTATTTAAAAAACACATCTTTATTTGTCAGGCAAAAGCGCAATACCCTGCATATCCGAAAATATTTTTAAAACATGTATTTTTTAAATCCATATAACTTTTATTTTAACCTTTTTTTACGTGTCTATAACACAAATTAAAATATTGGAAAATTACGCACTAATGGGACACCCCGTAGAGAAAAGATGTGAAAAAACCTTTCGGCTCAAAATCGACAACCTTTTAATTCCCAAAATGAGTTATTTAACTTTCACAGTATAATAATATATTACAAATTTGTATAGAACTTCCAAAGACGGACTTGATTTCTTTTGGATCTACAAACTTCTAGATGATACAATTGTTATTATTAGTTTTCTTTTATTTGACGAGGTCAGATATTTAATAGTTAAATTGTTTTGGATATTTAAAACACAATTGTTTATGCTTTCTATTGTTTTTTACATGCTCTATAACATATCTCTTTATATTTCCTTTAATTGGACTCCAGTAGTTGATGTTTCTGGCCTAACTGTAAATAAGGGTTTAATTATTTTAGATTATATCACTCATGATACAGCCAGTCGCAAGAAAGTTTATTCAAATGTATGAGCCTGATTAACTTTGACGGAGTTTTCTAAAGTTTACTCGAAGTCTTAAGTTTAGCAGACTAAATTTTAATGAACGTCTTTGCAACAAGTCTTAGTTGTATTAATATGCTTTTATTTATTTTATTTATTAATATGCTTTGAATTAATAATCAAACACCATGAATTTGATTCGTCAGATCAAACAAGTATTGATTTTGTATTTACAAAGTAAAAATGCCAAAAATCATTTCTCTAGTCTTAAGGTAGTTCACTCGCGACAGTCGTACATAAAAATATCGCTTAATGGTGAATACCAATAGTTCGAGATTCTCAATGCTAATCAATTTTATAATTTGTGTCCACGTTATATACAGAGTGGACCAATCTTGTGGAAAAGTTCGATATCTTCCTTGTTGAAAGAGATATTAAAAAAGTGTATTAGGAAAATTATGGAAAGGTTTGAGGTTAACATTTTAAAATTA